GAAGGGACCTTGAGGTCGCGTCCTTCCGACTCACGCCTCCGCCTCCTGGCACTATTGTAGCCCTGGCCGGTGCGCGTGCGAAGTTGAAGTTCCGGTGTGAAAATTCGAACGCGTTCTCTCACGGTGACCAAAAAATGTCCACCACAGAGGCACCTCCGGAGGCAGGCCGCCGCGCGCCAGCGACACAGCTCCAGCTGTCGAACTGACCCGCAGCTCCTCTCAGAGCGGGAACTGTGACAAAAGTTGACTGAGGTGGTTGTCAGGAACCATCATATGGATCACATGTTGGCTCTCTCATGACGACAGCGACACAGACCCTGTGGGACGCGTCGAGTATCGACCTCTACTGCTTACCCAGCCTTCGAGTGTATCCTGGCTGTGGTCCCACACCCACTGGTGTCCATCTCAGAGCCGTAGGAGGTCATGGGGTCGAACCCCACAATGCCTAAAAAAACCGAAGCCGGGAATAAATAAATAAATAAAACGGTCTGTGCTCCAAGGTCAAACTCTGAGACGAGATGGGATTTAGGGACATGTGTCCCCGCCCTGCACGATCTTGGTGTGAGGGATCTTCAATGATCAATCCGTCCCCTCACCCCTGGTCACTACCCGACACTAGCGGCAAGAGTTGGGGCTGCGGCGGATGCCGGCGGTAGGCCGGCTACGGGGTGTGGAGGGTGAGTTGAACAGGGGTTGTGCCTCTGGGCCGGCGCGGGGCCCCCCGGAGGCACCGTGCGCCGCGCCGCAGTGCGGAAACGGGGCCCCGGCTCCACTAGTCTCCACTAGCACCAACTTCCCGATTAAGTACGGTTAAGTAGAGGGCAGATTTGGAAAGATCTCGAGGAGTACATACAGATAGACCCTCCAACCATCAGAAATCTCCGACCTGATCGGTCGTACTGACCGCCGACAGATCACTCCAGACAGCAGACAGGCCGACGTCTGCACGCGGCCGGCCGGGCGAGAGGCTTGACACGATCCGACCCTGCGACCCTGACGCTGCTGCTCTAGCTATCAGCCATGCACTGCTGACTGCTGCCACAATGTGCGACCTGTGCTGGCCCACTTGGCGGCCTTCCCGGTCAGTGGTGAGGCGCAGTTCAGAG